TCTCCCAGGAAAACCCAAATGACTTAAGTCTGGCCATTTTTATTGCAGCCCTGGGCCTTTTCCATCACGTCTCGGCTGCTGTGGCAGCACTGCCAATGCAAGGCAAGGGCAGAACTCAGCCCACAAGCGGGATGCGGCTACAGTCCCCAAAACAAGCAGAAACGAGACCAAAGCCAAATGTTTCGACACATGATGATCAGTTGTATTTTCAGTCCATTAATACACGTTCATTTACCAGATACAGACAGAGTGGAAAGGAAAGCGATTGTTAGCAGAAACAAGGATACAAAACTCCATTCCAGCAGCCTTCACAGAAGGGATATTCAGTGTTCACAACTGCAAGGTTGGAAGGTAGAGACACACGGAGACCTGCACTCACACTCAAAGTGGAAGCTCTCCTTTTGTTGATTAGTTTAGCTAGAGACGATTTAGGGAAAAAAAAAAAAAGCATTCCCAGAACTGTGACCTCCAACAGTTTTTCTCACTTCCCGAGTGTCAAGAAAGAGTCAGTTAAGTCGGACCTATTTACATGGAAGAGATTTTATGAACACAGTGGAGGTTAAAAGTAGAATAAATCACAAATACTAGAAAATACAAGAAGAAAGCAGATGGGGGGGGGGGGGGGGGGGGGGGGGGTGCCTGCTTGCATTCAGTGGTCGATGTACAATTTGTGGGTCAGCTCCACTTTGATCTACCTTAATTTTACAAGCTTAACTTGATTCACTGCCATCATGTTACGCTCCTGGTTTAAACCTCGATTCTGCAAAGCTCCTGGTTTCAGTAGGATCTCAGCCATGCAGAAGGGATGGCCCATTTGAAACAACGCCACAAAATGTGAGAATGCATTCACGGCTTGTGGGCCACCCAAGAGATGCCAACCTCTACCCATATACCTGGCCCGGAGCCCACTTGCTTTCTTCACCTTGACCACCACCGAGTCCTACAGACCAAGTCCCTTCTGCCAGAAAACCAATGCAGCAGCTCCACAGCTGATGGAGGTGTGTCAGTTTAGACCAACGTGGATTTGGGTCTTTACATTCGGCAGGAGAAGGAAATGGCGCTTCCTTCATAACCTAAAGGACCTTCATAACTTAAAGGACCATTCATTTAAATGTCCCCCAAACGCAGCCTCTGTGCACAGATGACAACCCCTGCCTGTCCGAACTACAAGCGCACAAAAGACTCGTTACACTGAAATAACAACAGCAAACCACATCTGAGCTTGATTGTATATGGATATTTCCTTGGAAGGAATGAAGATATTGTAAATTATTACTGCCAGGGTCCCAGCTAGGCAAAACCCACACTGAGGTCTCCCCCAGGGATAGCACCAGGATTGCGAAAAATCATGTTGTAAAACCTGATCAAAGGAAAGGAAAATGGAGTGTTTGGGGTTTAATCCAGCAAAGGTCACAGCAAATCAGGTGACAAACTGAGACCAAGAGACCAGAAACTGAGCCAAGCACTTCGCATCTGCCATGGAGCACTGGAGTAGTTCTACAAATTATTTTTTAGTAAAGTTCTCACATGTAATGACATTTTCTCCTTCATTTTGTTTACACCATGCATTAATTTTACAGTGAAATATTTATCCAGTCCAACATCTATACAATAAAACACATTTTAAAATATCAGAATATTAAAAAGATATGGAAAGGACTGTGCGTTCTCAAAGTGGCACACGTTAAGGAATAAATTAAAGGAAAAAAAAAAAGTGTTCTACTCAGGTTGAACTACAAAATAAAGCCTGAGCCTAGGAGAAGTTCTCATTTCCTATCGTTCTAACAAATAAATGCCACAAGAAACAGGTCGTGTTTCTGGCTTTGCTAGTGCTTGTACCCACGTCATTTGTTACAGTACTGTATATTGGCAAGCGATCCTCTCCAGTTTGAAGGTATTAAAAATAAACCCACGCTGGTATTACGGACTAAGAAGTAGTGATTGTTTAGGTGCAGAAATTAACTCTCTCAAGGTGTTCAACCTCACAGGCTTCTTAATATAAGAAATAAACCTCCAGCTGACAGGACCCAAGAAGCCAGCTCGGAGCAGCACAGCCCGTGGGCGCGAACAAGAGTCGCGCCTTCGCTGGCAACGGCTCCAGCCCCATCAGCTGTTCGGGGCGAGCGGTGCCGCATCCACGGCGGGGCTGGGTGGCCCCACGAGCCCCTGGGGATGCGGGGCTCTGCACTCTGCTGAGGCTGCCCTGCACACCTTGCTTGCATTTGAACGCTACTAAATTCCTGGTATGGGGAATTTAGCACCGACGCAGGGAAGGGATGTTGAGCGTGGCTCCTCTGTTCCCACAGAGGGAAACCTCCTCCCAGAGAGCCAATGTGAGGCCCGTCTGCTTACTTCAATAACAAAACACCTTCTTAATTAGCACCTTTTCATACAGAATCAGTCAACGACATCTCTCCTCTGTGGCTCTGCTGTGTTGCTTGGGACCAGCGGCCATCACACGGCGGGCCGAGTGTTGCAGAACCTGGGTGGTTTTTCCCCAAAGCAGCCTGGCAGAGGAGGGCTTAATGCCACTGGAGTTATGAAACCCCAGTAATTAGCTACCTACCACCTTAAAAGTCAATATAAGGATAATTTAACAATTACAAGAATCTTTGCTAATATGAGCACAGGGACAATAAGAGCACTTAGAAGATGACAGGAGCCTTGCAGTTCTTCCAAGGTTCACGTGTACGGGTGGCGGGGTTGAAGGCTTCCTTTGCAACTATGAATACAGATCTGTGTGACTGACAGTGATTCTCTGACAGGCTGTAATTGTTTAAAGTTAGCAGCTTTGTTCAAACTAAAACAGCTAAAAACATATCAAGAGATAAAAAGTTCTGAACTAGCACTGACATGAAATAACAAGACACCTCTGATCTTTCTGGATTGCAAATGGTTGGGACACATGTTGCTCTGGCTCTGCAGGGGTGATCCCAGGTCAATTTTTTTAAGGGGAAAAAAAAAAAAAAATCAAGGGAACATACTTATCTGCTTACAGCGTGCCAGCTAAAAGCATTGACCCCCTGGACCAAAGATTATCACATAAAATACTCCACATGCACTTCCAACAGGCTAACCAGACCACAGATGCACCAACCAGAAAGGAGTTTAATTGGCAACTGCATCTACAAAACATGAGTGTAAAACAGTGGAAACTGTAGGAAGGGGCTGAGACTCGGGCTGCCCTGCAGGAACGTCTGGGGTCGTTACTTACTTGGGTGATGCAGCAGGTACAGAATTACCTGGTGCCAATTTTCAGCTCTGAAGACACAGAAGGCAAGCAGCTAAAATGTGGGGGCCACCTATGTTTTGGGGATAGCTAGGCGACCGGTGTGATTCTTTTCCAGTTAAAACTAGGTGAGACTGTTGGAAGAGCCAAAAAAAAGGAAAAAAAGAAACCTGCTTGTGAACTAAAGTAAATACCAGTTCACCCAGTCTTTTGACCAAGCAGAGTTGGGCACAGGGTTAAGCCCAGCTAGTGAAGGGGACCCCCACACTCCTGGCAGCAGAGGAGCTCAGCAGATCCGACTCTCCTTAGGTGTTTCTAACAGCCTGATCTCTTAGTGTTCAACATAGTATTGCCGCCCGCCGGGGAACACCTCTCCCAGAACTGCAGCTGGACGTGAAATCAGGAGACGCAGCTCATTGCGAGATGGAGGATGGTGTGAAGACCCAGGACGGCACCCACCACGCGAGGTCCCGACCCGGGAGTGTTTTGCCCAGGGATGCTGAATCAAATTGCTGCTTCGCTGCGCAGTGAGATGCAAAGTAGCTTTGGAAACAGAAAACAGGACTGGACACGCCGTGTTTTACTTGTGCCTGGGAAGACACGTCCTGCACGACTGAGCTCAAGATTGTGGCTGGTCTAATAGCAAAGTAGACCAGGGACAAGGCTTTGCTAAGTGCTCCCCTTCCCCCTTGCACTCACCCCATCTACAAAGCGACACGTCAGCTTAGTTTGAGCATGGCTTCAGCTCTAGCTTAATGGTCTTTCCCTTCTTTTAAATAGGGAGCAAAGGGATGGAAAGAAAAGTCTACCTACGTACTGCAATCTAAATGCATGAATGGAGGACCCAGAGCGCAGAGCTTAGTCCAGCCCATGCTGGCTTTCGAGTTTCTGTCCCATTACACGCAGTGCCTCGCTTTCCTTCAGCTCCAGAGATCCACAGCTTGAGTTTAAACCTTGATCCTCTCCTGGAGAAAGCCTTCATGCACAGTTTGAGCAAACTGATGTGCTGCATTTCTGTAAAGGCCAGCAAACTCCAGTGATTTCCAGCACCTCTGGCTCCATCGAGGCTGCCCTTTGCCAAGACCTAGGCAGCACCGTGCTGCACGTGAGGATGCTGATTGCTCTAGCTGCGGTAGAAACAGAGGGTTTTTTCCCCCCAGAGGGGAGAAGAGACCGAAATGTTGATTCTGATAGTCTGTTTCCATTTAAGAAGTGAAACACCTGCACTTGGCAAGCTGTAGGACAGCCCAAGGCAGCACCAAGCAGCACTTCCGACAGCGTCGGGGCTGCATGACGTGCTCCGATGGCGTACAAAGGGGTGAAATGGGGGGACTCCAGCGAGCCAAGGCACGGAGACCCGCAAGCCTTAGAAGCACACACAGCCCACGACTCCTGCGCAGCCACAGCACGATCACAGTACGTATGCAACCACAGTATACAGCTGGCAGTAGTAACAACATCGACTGGGATTTGTTTCCTATCCTAGGAAGTGGCTTGCGTCCTTTAAGTGTTCAGAACATGTCTTAAGAAGTAACTCATTCAGAGGTTAAAGTCCTCATTTGCCATAATTTCCAAGTCTTTCTGCTCCTCTCCTTTGCACTAGTGTTGATTTGCTTCAGGTTCTTCCACCAAAATCCTTAAGAAAGGCACATTAGCTTGGTGGAGATCTTTTTCACCTCCCTTAGCAATAAAAAGCTTTCTAAAATCCCATATTGTTCATCAGCTTGTCTCTAGAGAACCAGACTTTAAAATGTAAAGCAGTCTGCATCTTCTAAGTCCAAACCTCCATGGGTACCATGGACTCCTTTGTTCCGACGGAGGGAAGCAAGTACTCTTCCTCCAGAAAACGAAAGGGGAATTGTACTAAAAATCCACGAATCTTTTTTAATTCTTCTGCTGCTTTTGCAGGATCATCATTCGCTAATTTGGGCTTGTTGATGAAATCACGCAGTTGGACTAAATTATTCACCTGGTCACTGGGAAGGCATCGAAAAACCTGATCAAAACAGAAAGAAGTGGCATGTCAGTGCGGGGGAACTACTGCAATGCAGAATTCCCGAGAAAGACCAAAAAACATCTAATACAAATTCCTCGGGATGGGAGTGACTTAATTAATGGCCTAATGGGGAGGGAAGAGGTATGAGCCTATCTGTGATACAGCTAGAGCAGGCAGAGGGAGAAGCTCCAGGGCTTTTTTTGATCACCGCAAAAGCTCATTAGAAACAAGGAGTAAAATTTGCTTCTACTCCAGTTAGGCTATGGCCAACTAGAAACAATAAGTACACTGCAGCGATTCACTGGAGCTACAGCTGACACAAATAAAAGGAGAAATGACAACTGTCACCTTCTTGGGCTGCCGTCACGCTTTGAGGACGCACAAACTCCAGTTTCTTGTTCACAGCTCTTGCATCCAACACTAGTCATTCCTTCAAAGCATCTCTGAAGGTCCAACCCCAGGAATCAGACCTGCTGCCCTTGCCCTCCCCGTGCCACTTCTCCCGTTGGCATCTGCTGCCGCCCCGCAGGAGGGAGGGAGGGGAAAGGCGCCGCGCTCCTCACCTTATCAAAGATGGTGGCATTGCGAGCCGCCGTAGAAATCCACACCTCTTTGAAGAATTTGTCGCAGACAGGATCCTGGTGTTCTGGACTGAGATCGGAGCCGCCAAGCACAACCCTGAGAAGACAAAGGGATCGATGCTCATGGAGGCTGAAGCGCCGGGCGCTCCCCCTCTTGAGAAGTGCCAGGGGAGGAAAAGTTTCCTTGGGACTTGCCAAACCCCGCGTGCTCCCAGCACCCTCCTGCTCCAGTCCCCTGCAATAGTCTGTCAGCCTTAACACTGCCCGAGTTTCTCCTTTTTTTTTTTTTTTTTTCTCTGTGCAATAACTGTCCAGATGGGAAACAGGGTAAAAAAAAGGAAAAAGAGAAAGGTCTTAATGAAAAAACAGCCATGTTGTGGGCCAGATGGCTGCTCCAAGTGAGGAAACTTCCATTAGAAAGAGACAGCACCACCCAAAATTAAGAGTGTGAAAACAGGATCTGGAGGCAAAATATCACTGTCTTGTTTATGAGCTCTCCTAGCGAAATCCTTGAGCAAAACAATTTTGAAGTCAAGCTGCCAAACTGAGGACAGGAGTGATGTGAGAAAGGCTAACGCCAGTGAAATAGCAGCAAAACTCTGGGCTAAATCCAGGTCAGGCAATGCTAAATCTGAGCAGGCAGCAGCAGGCCCATTGGTTTGAAAGGCTGCGCGCAGGCGTAAGCCCGAGCAATCCCTGCCTGCATCCCTGCTCGCTGCCCGTGCTTGGCCAGCCCCGCACATCCCACCTGAAGCACCGCAGCCGGAGGGACTGGGCAAACTTCCCAGCGCTGTAATCCTCCCCATCCATCACAGAGGGGACGGTCTCGGTGTCCTGCACGATGATGGCCATCTCGCTGTCCCGCTTCCCCAGCATGCTGCGGTCATTGATGTTGGCAGAACCTGGCGAGGGGGAAAATGAAGCCCCGGCAATACATCACCTGCTGCAGGAGATGCTCCTGCTCGCCCTCCGTCACCACCCACCGCCCCCGAGGGCCTCCGCATCCCTCGTCTCCATGGGAGACCAGCTATGGCTTTGCTAGGTAAAACCCTGCCCAGAGGGCTTCCTTATGGAAACACAGATCCCAAGAACCAGGATGAGGGGGAAGGCAAAAAAACCCAAATTTTTGAAGGCTTCAAAAGCTCCTGGTTTGGAAGAAGGGTAAATAAATCATAGCCAAGCCCAGGCCAACATTTTCAAAAGTTCACTCCCTCTCTAACTTCCCAGATGCTTTTGCTGAAGGATGCCACAGCATTCAAAGGTCTTTACTGCATTTGGTTTGGATACCAAGTGACCTGATGCAGGACGGGCTCCAAGGGTAAATCCGCTTTTATCTTTAGTAGTGTGAAGAGAGGAAGTTTTTCATTTGCATTTGGGAGGTAGGGTTTTTTCAGGAGGGGGATCTAGGAAGAAGGACGTCACCTCCTTGCTGTGGGTAACCAACACCCAGCCCCTCCTGTCCTGCCGGGACCGCGCTTTTGTGTCTGCAGACGCAGGAGCTCAGGCACCGTCCCTGCTAACGCAGCAAGGCAGCAGCAGAGCACAGGGCTCTGGGGGACCTGCCAACCACGGGAAATGTTTCTTCCACTCCTTGCCCTGTGCTTGCTGCAGCACTACCGCACGCTGTGTAAAATCCAAACCACGGAAGGCAGAAGGGTGCTTTCCAGAGGGGTGCTGGGGGAACGCCTTCCCCGGTGGTGGGACCCATGGGCGTCCTGTGCACAGCTCCCCGCTCGCACCCTGGGAAATAACCACTTCAGTCCCCAGCAAAGCTGCTGGAAGGCAGCAGAAGGCTCCCCCCATTGCACTTCTACTGCACGGCTCTGGCCGTGCCTTTTGTGGGGCGGGGTCCCTCTCCAAAAGGCACCACCCAGCGCATGTAAGGGTTTGGGTGCTGGGCTCGCGCAGCCGCTCCAGCCCTGACTCTGCACTGCGGTGGGAGCTCCCCGGCCCGCAGGGTCTGGCACCCGCAGCATTGCTCGAGACCAGCTGAGGCTTTATCCCCAAACAGGTTTCTCTGTCCGACGCCGCCATCAGAAGGCAAGGGATGGGGGGACACACCACAGCACTTGTTGGCTCCAAGGGAACAGCAAGATGCAGCCAGCGATAGGAGTCATCAGGTCACTAACCCACAGAAATGACCAAACAATAAAAAAAAAATCTCCAGACATGGCCCCCAGCTCCATAAGAGACCCCCAGGCAGTAGTTAGCCATTCAGCCTTCCCAGTGACTGAATTAATTCAAGGGGAACTAACACCTCCAGAGGCAAAATGAGCTAAACCCCTCTCCGTCCCTTCACCTCTCTCTCCAGCACAGCGGCCCCGTTAGCATTTTCTTTCCATGTACCACCTCTTTCTCGGGTGGGAGAGGGATGACACAGGCTCCCCCCATCACCTCACCAGCCAGCGCAGATGCACATGCTGTATAAAATCCTTCCTCAGGCTTATAGGTACAGAAAATAGAAATTAAGAGCTGTCTCAGGCCCCCAGACCACCACAGTTGCAACAACGCTGCTCCTGCTGTAATACTAAAACCACCTCTGGGCTGCTCTGCGTGCTGGAGACGGGATCTGACCCCTGAGAGGGTAACAGGGGAGCAAACCTAAGCACAGGTCATCCGAGACTACACGCTGAACTGCTGCTTTGAAGGAGGGGAGTACTTTGAATCTTGCAAAAACTGGTATTAAGTTATTCTTTGGCAAAGTTTTCATTGCTGATAGAACAGATCCGAAAGGGTTTCTTTAAAGAAACAGGCTAAAATTCTGCTTTTCTGCTGCGATGTAGGTCTCCGAGCCTTAAGTCCCTTGTCTTTGCTTCGCAATCTCATAATAAATATGGTAAGAGAAGCGGATGAAATGATTTCTATTACTTGTTATAACATATTTCCCCATTCTTAGGAAATGGAGCTGATAAATGACACGTGTTGTCCAAACCTTCCAAATTTTACAGCACATTCTGTTCTTTAAGGAACAGATGACAAGTCTCACAAGTCTTCCTGCTAGAGCAGAGTTTGATACAAGACAGATGGACAATATTCCCTGCACTGGGATTCTCTTCAGTGTTGCACAGAGATTTAAAACCATTTTAGAAAAACAAATTAAATGACAGCCCTCCAAATTCTTTCCTCCCTCCTACCTACCCTCCTGATGAATTTATGAGTTTGTTTTGGTTTTTTTTTTTTTAACAGCAAAATATTTCACAAGAAAGAAAACACAGAAAAGCACACGGCACCGCAGCCTGTACTGAGCACAGGGCAGAGAAGCAAAGGGACTAATCCAGGTATAATGGAGTGGTCCAAACCCCTCCCGCAAGCCCCCTGCTCACCGATTATAACTGTGTTGTCATCAGCAATAAGCAGTTTGCTGTGAACATAGATGAGCTCTGTGACTAGTTTTCCTTCCAATTCTGCATATGTTCGAAGTCCACAGAATGATATGTAGTTTATCCACTTGTCTCCAACTGAAAATTAAAAGAGAAGAAAACTGATGGCATGAGGGAAGTGGAAGAAAGAAGAAAGAGAAAAGACCCTCTATATATAAAGACCCATATGAATAGCAGTTCACTTTTGGCTTTTTAAAAAAATAATAAACAGATAATGGAAATAAGTTTCTTTAAAAGCAGACTTTAAAAGCTGCCTGTGGGCTCTCTGTGCTGCTCTGATCCGCTGCCTGCTCGGATACTTCCACTTTGGTGAAAAATGACCCAAATCTCCCTTGCGCACCATGCAAGTGCTCACAATTGATATGAACATCTTAAAATAACTGGGCTGTGTGACCGCTTTTCTGCAGATCCTGCAGAAAGGAGGCTGGAAGCAGGTGTTTCGTTCATGCACAGTACAGGAAATATGTCCTAACGTACTTGTCCGCAGTTCAGATTTACACAAAGACCTAGAACTAATGAGGCATTATGTACGCCCCTAGTATTTACGATACGTGGGTTTTCGTGGTGCTCTGATTCCCAGCAGAGCAAATTCAAGCAGGCATCCTCATGGCGAGGAAGCAACTCGGAAAGAGCGTCCTGTTTAGGCAGGTTTTTCCTCTCCGTGTTCAACAACTGCCAGAAACAAACCCAGGATGGGATTCATGGGGGCACGGGGGGAGGCAGAGGGCTTGTTGCTCCCAGAAGCATGACCCCACTCAGGACATTTTCCAAATAACACGATCCTCAGCAGCTGCAACAGCGCCGTGCTCCTCTCTGGGGTCCTCCCCTCCTCCGGATCCGGGCTGCATCTGAGCGTGAAGTCTGACAACTGGCCAAGGCTCGCATGACCCGACAGACCTTGCCACGGGATGATGGCAGAGGAGGAGGTCGCTCGCCAGCCCCTCGAGCCCATAGCACACATTGCTGTGAGATGCCCCAGTCCACGCCTGAACCCCTCAGCCACAGCAAGCCCATGTTAATAAGAAGCTGGAGAATCTGGTTTATGTGCGTCCATCGAACAGCAGCATCCCAACCAAGACAAAGCAACGTAGAGGAGAGGAATAAAGCTCTTACCCTCTGCCTTCAGCTGGCCCAGGATTGAGTTTTCTCCTCGGCACATGGTCCTGGAAAGAAGGTAGGCAGCTGTCAGCACCACCATGACTTGAGGTAGCAGCATATGCCGAAGCAGAACCGGGCGAGGTAAACCGCAAACACAGATGCCTCTTAAATACCCCGTGCAAGCAGAGGAAACACGGTACTTCCAGAACACACATTTTTCCCAAACGACTGTTGATATATCAAGGACTGCTCATTTCCTAAAGGAGCTCATACCAATCCGCATAGGAGCTGGGGAGCATTTTTGCCTTCTAGAGCACACCGCAATGATGATCAACACATTACAAACAGGGCTGCTGCTGTCTGTGCTGCAGGTTTGAACGTGAAGTGACATCAAGAAAGTCAGTCAACACGTGCAGAACACCAGGTCAGGGGAGTTTGTGTGATTACACTGGGTTGGAAAAGCCACAGCCAGCATCTCATTCAAAAAAAACCAACACGTGGGCAATTTCTAAAGACCTATGGTTGCCCTTGCAGAAGAAAGCTCAGGCAGAAGGGTCTGGTTAGGCAGAGATGCTGCCTTCCTTCTGCTTGCGTCTCCTACCCCACTCATCCTTATGGAGGTGTGGTAGGACCTCTGCAGACCAGCAGACAAGGGAGATCTCACTCCAGAGGTAGCAGTAGTCTCTGCAGACTGACTGTGCCCTGGCCATACCATAACACAGCAGTTTTCCAGTAAAACCACCTTGTCTTGGGCCATTTTGCCGCCTTCTATGCCCCATTCTCAGTGCAGGGCTACCTGGCACTGCTGCATGTAAGTCCTTCCCACGAGACCTGCTGTGGGTGCCCCCAAAACCATTGATCCTGGAGCAGCGGGACAGCATCGGGAAAGATGCCGTTGCCTTCGTGGGGCTGACGGGCAGAGCCAGGCAAAGTATCGGCTGCGAAGGCAGCTCTGGAGACAAAGCCCAGCTCTTCCACCCAACAGAGCAGGTGCAGATCCCCTGAGCTAAAGAAGCTGCAGGGCTGCCTGCTCCTTCCCAGCCGCAGCGGCAATGGGGATGCTGCCAGAAGGAACCGCAATAAAGCCACAGTAAGTGTCTAAAGGAGAGCACGACTGCTGAGCAGGAGGTCAGAGACCTCAGGGGTGAGGAAGTTCTGGTTTGATGAGCTAAAAGGAAGAGGCAGGGATTTCCCCGCAGAGAGCACCAGGCTTTACCCACGGTACTTCCCTGCTCTGCTAGCATCGTCTCACCTCCTAATGCAAACCCCAGGGCTAGCAAATAAATGAGCTAAAGTACTAAGTGAAAAACTACACAAACAGTTCTCCTTTTCCAAACACCGTGTGCTCGTGTGGACAACATCTAGCGTGACACCACACCGATGGCAGCCAGAGCCTCGGGCACCAGCCGCAGCAGGCGGAGGTGACCGGGGAGGTCTCCGACAGCCCTGCCCGCAGCGGGGCTGCCTGCGGTACCTGTAGTTGAAGTGCATTATGGCCTGCAGCGCGTTTCCCCCGCCGGTCGAAATGTCTCCTTCAAACCCAGGCAGCAGCGGGATCACCACGTATACTCGGAAACGCTTATTTTCCCTGAAATGATAGTTTGGGGTGAGTATTAGCCTGCAAATGTTACAGCTTTGTACAAGGTGAGTCCACTTCGTTTCCCTTTCTCTGTGTTGACCGACTTGGTTTCCATCCAAGGCTACTATACCAATTTTAGGGGAGTAAAGTGTGAAGCGTATTTCCAGTTTCGGGTCTTCATAACCTGTCAGCAGTGCTTCAGCAAGTGCTCAGACCTTCAGGGGGAGAAGGAATAATTTACCCTCAGCAGACAACAAAAGAAGCTAAAGGAAAAGAAACATTTTCACTGAAGTTCAAGGGCAGGCTAATTATTTTGCAGATTGTGTCTGCCACTATAGAAGTTCATTTAGCACCCCGACAGCCCAGTCACATGGACACTGGTGCAGACTGGTGTGTACGACTGCCTGGCAGAGCACAGCAAAGATTAGAGAGCTACGGCAGGCAGAAACCCAAAATCTAACCTGACGTTCCCACTATATCCTGGTTTTTAGAAGTCAGAAACATCACAAAAGGTGGAAAAAGCTCGGGGTACAAGCAAAACATTGATCATTCAGGAAGGCGATCAATACATCACAACCTACAAAAACTCAGTTCCACTGGACATCCACAAACCAAACCGCACGCTAACCATGATCTGACCCAGGATTACCAAAGCTGCACTCACAGCACTGCCTGAGGCTTTTCTTAAAGCCCACCTTTGGGTTTTCTTTGCTGACAAATGCCAGGCGTATCTGCTCTGCCAGCGCTTCCCAGGCATCCCTGGGTGTTGGCAATCCCCTGGCCTGCACCCCGGCGGAGGAGGAGGACGAGGAGGAGGAGGATGCTCCATTGAAGGGTGCTGCCACTAGATGGCAAACACACTTTAATCAGGACAAAAAGCATTTCAGGAGCAGCCTGCAGATGAGCCAGCCTGCAGTTTTTGTTACAAGTATTCCTTCCTCGAGCAAGTCGTGCCTGTGGGTTTAAGGGCACAGGAATCGTGAAGAATTGGGGTCTCGTCTGAGCTGGGAGGGAGACATTGAGGTCCTGTGTGTCTTTAATTTCAACCAGCGCTTCCTCATAGCTGTGCTATGCACTGTAAACTAGCTTTAGTCTGACAGCAGACCTCGGAAACAGCTAATGAGGTCTTACCCGTAAACAAGAAGAGACTTTGAAATGAAGCTTGTTTGTACCATGAAAAAGATCTACTAACAAAAGCATTCCCAAAAGAGCAGCTTGTTTGTCTAAGCCCAGTGTTTATTAAACTAGTTAAAGAGCCACCCATGAAAAGAAGAGGAAACCAAGAAAAGAATGTTATTAATTACCCTGGTAGAAAATATTTAGTCTAGAGAGTGAGAAGTGTGCAAGCTTAACTAAAGAACTTAATTTACAATTAAACATCTGTGTGTCACCTACGCTGTTTTCCTGGGGCAGTTTGGAACACGAGCACTCGATACAAACCATTTAGGTCTTTTCCTTTAGGAATATACTTTTAATCTTACATAAAGCCAAGCGCTCTGGAGCGTGCAGAATTTCCATCTTATATTCAGTTAGGAATCACTGATGTTAAGCTGGCGCAATATTGGCATAAAATTGGAGTAACACAGAAGCGAATCAAGCATCACATCTGAAAATGGGTCACTGAAGAATTTGCGTGACTCCCTTTTGTGCTAGACTTTTTGATGTCTGGACAGAACGACACCCTTTACAGAAACTTTACATAACAGGAAAATCTTAACAGATTACCTGGAGAACTGGCTGCTACCTCAGGAGCATTGCTAAGAGCAGGCAACCGATGCAAAGGGCCCGTGGCAGTCTGTTCCCAAAGGCAGGAAAGGCAATCCAGAGCGGCTTTCCTGGGGGACACTGCACAGAGACACCGCGTCCGGCTGCCTGCGAGCCTCGAGGTTGCAATGCAAACACCAGCAACGCCATTTCCAGCAGCGCTGGCACCACTCCTCACCTATCCCAGGTGAGAAAATCCACTCCATCTTTTCATCCTTAGCTACTTTCCATTATTTGGGCTACGCGCTGCAGCTCACAGGTTACAAGCAACTCCACCCCGTCACTCTGTCCTGTTGTTAATGGCGTAGCAGGTAACACCCATGCTCTGCCGGTTTGAGGTTTGAACAGTGCTCCTCTTTCCACAGTGCCTCTGAACAAAGCCAGTCTCATGGCAGCTCCTGTGGCCTTGCAGACATTACCCATAGCTCAGTGTCTGCGAGGCCGGAGCTGCTGTCTGTCTCTGCTTGGTTGCCTTTACCCAAGTGGAAATTTCCAAGCTCAAGTGCCAAAGAGAGAGAAATTTCTGCAACTCCAGAGAGAGTACCTCTGGGAAAGCAGCCCCTGCATGGCTCTGGATAACTACAATATGGGGAAAAATAATCATTGCAAGAAACTTCTCGACGCATGGTGAGAAAGCACAAGAGATTAAAGGAAGACATTTGGAAAGTTTTCTGTATATCAGCCCAGCAAGACCAGGATACAATTTTAGACGATGACATACATGTATGTTAGAGACACTCCAGGAGAGCAACCTTAAGCAAGGCTCTCCAGGATCAAAGTGAAGACAAGCCCCTACCTGTAGTATTCATGTTAACACAGGGTTAGGCATGCTTAAGTAAAAGGACTGTCTAAAACATGGTTGGATTTGATCCATCCAGGAGCAAATGGTGGTCCCCTTGCAGCGGCTGGAGGTTGTAAATACCCTCCAGCACTTACCAGAAAAAAGTTGTTCAAACAATACCCGAACCCTGCAGTCAAATCCTCGAAATGTGTTTGCTTCCCCTATTTGAAGCCGATCCTCTCAATAAATAATTTAAATAAGCCACAAATCCCAGTTCAACCTTTTCGCTCATTAACTTGCCCTACCACACAGTTCTAGACTGGTTGGCTATGGAGCAAGGGTGTCACTGAACCGGAGTATAAAGGACTTGCTTTTAAACAAGTTCCATAAATAAAATACATTCGCATCAGCATAAGTCCAGAAAGACACTTTCTGGCTGCAAAGAAACCACTAAAGAGTCTCACTGCTGCAAACACAAGCAGATATTCAACCGCATTGGTTCTGTGTTGGAAAAAGCTATTGTACATTTGTGTCCATTAAGATATTATTTTGCACCACACCATAAAAATGCACCTGGAAGACTTTCATTGCCTTGTTAAGAACAGGTTACCTGTGAGCTTTAAGAATCCTCTGAGCAATTGCATCGCCAATCTTGTTCCAGACAACTTTGTCATCAGCACAGCTAATAAAAAACTGGTTCTGCAGGAAAAGCAAGCAAAAGCTACTGTCAGACACTGCCAGTGACGAACAAAAAATATTTGCATGCTTTGTTTCAGACCAACAGCAACTAAAGATAGCTGGGTTTTGTGTGCCATTTGAATTGGTGCTTTTTTTTAATTATTATTAAACGATGCGTGTGTCTGTGCTCACTTCGGGAACAAATTAGTTCTTATTAATCACGCTCCTTAGGAAGTTCATGTAAAGAGCAACCTAACAAGAGGCTAAAAAAAAAAACCACAGGAGATTCCTGCAGCTCCAGGCTGTATGTATGCGAGACCAGCCCTGTGCGCAGGAGGTTTAGGCATGCACAGGGGACACTGCAAAGCCACGGAGCGGGCAGGAAGACTATCACATCAGCCATGAAAATTGCTGGCAATTTTGCAAAGAGGCTTATAAAGGAGAGGTCTACTTTTTTCCACCCCGTGCTCAGAAGGCTGTCAGGATACACACCCATCAGCCTGGTCCGAAAACCACTGAAGTCAATGGAAACAGCCCCAAAAATTCAGAGCAGATGCTGTATTAATATCCACGTGCGTCTAAATTCATAAAAATAAGACCAAACCTCAAGAAGAACTACCCTCCTGATGGCTGCGAGCCATGCCCAGAGCATCAGGACCCTCCTGCTTCCCCTCCTTGCCACTCACTTCTATATAGATGTAGTGCTTGCTGCTTTCTATCACGCTGATGTAGGCGCTGTGGATGGACTCCTCGTGGTATTTAATGCCGGCTGACCAGTCAGCAGCAGAACGGATCACCTGGAAAGCAAGAGATTAACACCTTCAGCTCTCTCCCATCCAGGATGGCACAGCATCGCCACTGAATTATTTAAGAGGTAATGCTCTTCCCTGGCACCGTTCACCTGTCAGGACTTCATTAAATAAGGCAATACAGGCAACATTCACCACTTATACCGCGCTTGTAGTAAGGAGGAAGGATACTCAGAAATAGTATTAATGCTTAATAACGTTTTGGTTAAAAACATAAGTGCCCTGTCCCACTGCTGCGTTACTGCCCTCTCCCACCTGAGCAGTTTTCGATGCAATAACAGCAGCACAGAATTTCCATTCTTGCTTAAAGGTCTTATGATAAACTGCTTTTAAAACAACCTAAATTTCCAAGCTTTAGGGCCACACATCCAATCAGTGATCTCCGCTCTAGCAATGTTTAAAGCTGGGGCAATGCGTTTTTCCCACAAAACGGGCAGTACATCATTGTACAGTCAGTCCGTTCACGCAGGCCACAACTTTGTCCTGAGCACTCAAGGTCATTTATTTCTTCTGCCAAATTCTTGCATAAGCCATCCGATTTGTGATGATACGACTTTCAAAATTCATAGCAGTTCGGCTGCCCACACTTATTTATTAATTTTTACTGGAAATCCACATTTAGAGTAGATACTGCGGGATCCCCGGGGCACGCTGTCCCCGTCTCCTGCAGTTCTTGTGCAAGAGAGCCAAACCAACGTGAGAAACAACCTCTGTTCGTGCTCTCAGCCAGGCTGAGCAATCCCCGCAGCGGGCAGCTTCGCATCCCCGACAGCCAGAGATGCCGTGGCATCTCCCACTCCTGAGCTTTGAGTCAAGAAACAGCCACGCTATGCCCCCAGTGACATTTTCCTAGATGGAAATGCAGTTTTTAATTAAGTGTTGGCAGGGTACGTGCTGAGGGGAAATAATTACTCGTGATTAGTCTCTGTCTTTAAACATTGTCAAGACAAAAACATTGAAACAATAGCCTTAAAATACCTCAATACAGCCATTATACCAGCACTCAGGGCCAGTCACACACAGGACAAGATCCAAATGCTGAGGATCTGTGAAATCTGTGCGTCAGTACGTGCAAAATTCCGATCCCTTTTGGGGTTCAACAACTTCTTTCCCTGGAAATCCCTCCCATGGATTTCTTTTAATTCTCCGTGTCCACCTTCTGCTTTGCTCCACATTACTCTCCCTGTCCCCCTGATACCCTGAGCTCTGCTGTCACACTGTCATCACCACCCACCACCAAAGCAGGCTGCTGGCCATGGTGTGGCTGAGGACTTTCGAGGGCTCATTAATTACCTGTAGCATACCAGTAGATAAGGATTTGGCCCTTCGGTCCAGGTGCTGCATGCCTGAACCAAAGCAATCCTCTCATCTCCAGAGCATCTCTGGAGGTGGCACTGAGGGGTATTTCTGTTCAGTAGCACAGGACTCCTGAGCTAATTCCTTCACCGGGACAGAAGGAGCTTTCTCCCACAGGCCACTGAAGAACAGATCCTGCAACTCTCCTATCTGGCTGCCCGCTCGGCCAACAGGAGGGAGCACTCTGCAGCCTCCCAGACTGAACATCAGGGTCACAGATGCTTGAGTGAGGGAGCCAGCGGGAACGCAAGGGCCATCACAGCCTCTACCAGTGCCAAAAAGCCGCCCTTTGCTTGCATAAAACTCCTCAAGGCGATGCTACTCATGCCCGTGTGGTTTTAATCACCCATTTGGTTTGCAAAACCAATGCCACGTGCTCCCACACGCCCCAGGCTGGGCACTGCTGAAACCCCACCGAGCACCAAGGCAGACAAAGCTCCTGAACAGAATTCCACCATTTGCATTAATAAGGAGAGAAAAACAGCTTTTCTGGGTAGAAAGCAGCCTACCTCTTCCATGCACACAGCTCAGGCTGCAGCCTGGACAGGAGCTCGCAACCCTTCTACCTTCACAGCCGGCGATGAGCAGCCACGCTGCCCCTTCCCTGCCTTTTGTCCTGCTGCCCTGAAAACCTGGGGCCACAAAGCACATCCCTGTGGGCTGGGGACCTCCTGCAAATGCAGTCTGGAATTGCACTTCAGAAAGCTGCAGACTGTAGCTTCTTAGTGTACAGAGTACTGATATTTAATCCTTTTTTTTTTTTTTTGCTAGTTAACTTTGTCCATGCTCCAAAGAGCCACTTCTCTTTTTAAGATAAGCTGCTGAGCCCCGCACTGAACAAAGTAACTTCCACACCCTCATTTACAGCAGCAATAGCTGAAACTGCTGGGGAGGAGGAATAAATGTCCTTTTCTGAATTGGGTGCTTGATAGCACCAAGGTGCCTTGCTTTGAAAGACAACTTTACTGCCAGGAGATAAGTTTATTCCAAAGCAGGGATGCCACCTGACACAACAGAACCATCACTCAGGACCATCCCCTTCCAGCACCATGGCTTCATCCACCTGCCCTTCCCTGCCTTCATCTTCCCCCCTCCACGTGTCAGCACCCCAGCTCCCTCCGTACCCCAGGCTGCCCACTGTTACAGGACCATCATCCCTCTGCCCTCTCCCCAGAACAACGTGTCATGGCTCATCCTGAAAAGCTGCCTCAGCATCACCCAAAAAGCTTATGTCTGGTACAACCTTGAATCCACGTGCGGAGGGAAGAAGAGGTGTCAGAAGATGCTGGCTGGTGCAGCAGAACAGGTGTAAGGTGTTCCAGCTTGGACCTCCTCAAAATAAAGTTATTTTTAACCTGGATCACAGCTCTGCAGCCACAGCAACAGGTGAGGAGGTGGCAGGACAAGGCCACCAACGTTGGTGGCTCTACGGCCACCAATGGCAGCATCGCATGGATGCAGCACGCACCCCGAGGGACCGAAGCTGCAGCTGTGGCACTCAAAGACAAATGCACACCCTGAAGTTTCCTACACAGGCCTTCGCTTATCACTGATGTTTCATCTCACGCTTCTGGACACCTCGCCTTTCCTGTCAAGGTATTTAAAGTGACCTGGTTCAAACCCAACCTATTTTCCTGGGAGAAAAGGCCACAAGCTGCCCAGCACAGCACCCATCAACCAGAGCTGGTGTCTCCATGCTCCTTCCTCTCCTCTCCCTCAAACCTCTCAACAGCAGCGCTGAGTGCTGTGCTGGGCTTATCATCTCTTTAACTTCTTTAACCAATACAACAGTAATAAATTTGACGTTTGCTGTGGGCTATTGCATAAATCCTGAACAATGCAAGCTCTCACGCAGGCTTCAAAGAGGTAAGGGCATTAGCCATTGCCAGAGCATTACATTTTCATTGCATTTACATCAAGAACTGGATGTTGCCTCACCACGCCACATCTTTTGCAGCGCTGGCTTTGGCTGATAACTGCAAACTCTGGAATGGAAATAGAGAGATGGAAGAAACCTGGCACTGCCTTTGGCAGACGGCTATTAGACTCTTGCAAAAATCAACATGCAATCACATTGCTATTGCAAGCAAAGCCCAGAAGTTCAAACAAAAGAGGATGAGAGACCCTGTCTGACTAACCCATGGAGCTGACAGGCTCCCTTCCTCTTTCCCAGCCTGTACATCGTTTCCCATGCACGCTGCATTCATCCTCCCTGCCCAGGGGAAAGCCCCTGTCAGTGCCACTCCTGCTATCCCCACCCTCCCGAAAACGCTTTCCTGCTCCTCTCCTCTGACAAAGGAGAGCAAAAACCAGATGGTACAATGAGGTCAAAATCTGTTGCTGACAGGTCAGCAGCTCGGGCTTGCAGCAACGTTGCAGTCCCCACAGATCCTTTGTGTTTTCCCTTCCTCTGATCTGCCCACAATTGAAGACAGATTTGCAAACAAGCTCAGAAACAAGAAAACCGTCAGCCAGAATTTCTTCAATCACCCCGCAGCCAAGGACAGTCACCGGATGCTGGATTTTAACTTGGGGCAGTAACTTCTGCCTATAAAGTCCCTACACAGCACCAAAACAGGGATAACGCGGGTTTGGCTGGTGGCCAGCCAAAGGATTCAGTATCAAGAACAACAATATTGCTCTAGTTTTTCTGGATAAAAAAGTTGGTGAAAGATTTTAGGGTATCTGCTTATTTCTGCGCTGGACTGTACCACTGACAGGAGACGTGAGCACCTGCAGCCCTCTGGTCTGAAACTGATGTATGGGACAGGCAAGAGGCTGATATTCCTGTGACTGCAGGAAAGGAGAAGCCACGCAGGGACACCCCAACGCACAGCCCGGAGCTCCAGAAAAAGGCAACGGGGTGGGGGGGGTGTCAGATCCAGGCTTCAGGTGTTCTCCCCTCTCCCCACCTCCTGCAGCAGCCAAATCTGAAACGTTTGTCAGGAGGAGAGCCCGAGCCGCTCACTGACCCACAGCGGGGACCTCAGGGATGCTCAGGGCACTTGTGTCATCCAGGGATTGATGGAAACCAGGCCAGCATGAGCATTATGGAGGAGACAGCCAAAATTACAGTGTGTGCAGCAAAACCACGCCTCGGAGCTCGAGGAGATCATCCAGAGATCGCAACCCAACTGCAAGCAGCCTGGGACCGAGGGACCTGCACCCAGGCAGGGTGCACCAGCCTGGGCAGAGGAGCCAACCTCACTGCTTCCACCGCGCTTGGTGCTGCAGATGCTTTTCCCTCATAGTCTTCCCTCATACGGGCAAGGCTGGTACATTGCAGGGCAACATGTTTTCAGTCTAATATCATATAGTTTTATTTATCTGGCTATATGCAGGGATGGGCTACCCTGACAGGTTTCTAAAAGCTGCAAGTTGACATAAATTAGAAATGAGCAAGATAGTACCAAATTAATAATTTACAAGAAAAACCTGCTCTCTTTTTGCTCTTTATGGCATCACTGGGAACAGCCCCTTATTTCCTGGAATGTATTAGTTATTTGCAATGCCCCAACAACGTCGTGACTAGGCTAGTTTCAAACAGCTCACCCATCGCTCAGCATTGGTGTATGTGGCATTTAGCAGTCACCATTTGAGCTTCGTCCTCCTCTCCCATGGGCTGATGCCCTGAGCCAGCAGCTCTGCAGTATGGACTGAAGGAAAGCTGGACCTAGACTGTGCTCAGTTTAGTTTCTCCTTTGGGAACTGCTTCCAGTTCTGTAATCAGTAGAGCTTAACTTTTTGCTACAGCAAACCCCATGATTTAGAAGTTGGGGCTTATCTTGCGGTGAGAGCACGCTCAGGGGACACAAGCCCCCTCACTTCCATGAGAACAAAATTTCCCAAAAGCTGATGTCACGGGCACAGCCAGGGAGGCATTTACAGCCACAGGGAAGCATGATGATGCCTGAAGCGAGACTGTTTCTCCACAAGCTGTAAGCATTGTTTTGGAGGCTGATGTAAATGCCCAAGATCCATGACACAAGATCCCCGTGCCAGCCAACCCTCACACCACGTGGGGAGGAGCGGACAATGCCCTGGCAAACCACAAGCCCAGAAAAATGCGTCTTGTTACACTAAGCTTCCCCAGGCGTTGCTGTCATCTGGGTGGACCACGCTTCATGAAGAGTAAAGGCATGCGTTTTCCCCAGTTTTGGTCTATTTGCTCTTATTTCATACATCTTTCATCCACAAAGACTCACAATTGATTTGCTGCTTCAGCATAACTTGTTTGACTTTGTATTCTTCAACAACTCCATGTTTCTGCTGGGTAACAGTAGTATTCAATATATGCACTCACTATAGCTAACTGGGTTTTAAATATAGCTATCTTGGCAATTATGCCTGTGAGGATGATTGTCACAAAGGAGACTGTGGGCTGACTGTGCAGAACTGCAGAGGACCCACAGGGCTGAGTGGCTGCATAATAAAACGCAGATGAAATTCAATGCAGAAAGCAACAGCCCTAAGACTCCACTTAATGCTGGGCTCTAGCTGACCACTACCCGTCTGAGCAAGGCGTCAGGGGCCTGGTAGACTGCTCTAAGATCTGGGATAAATACTCAGTGGGCAACCTCAACCCATCAGCCTTCCCAAAACATAAAACACAAACGTTAGGCATTACAAGAAAAGCAACAGAAAACAAAATGGAAAATTACGCAGCTATACAAAGTCACGGTGTTCCCACAACTTGAGTACTGCGTACAGCTTGGTCCTCTTAGAGATAAGACAGAGATATGAACTAATGCATCTCTTCTGAAAGAGTTGCGTTATTTTACTGTAATTGAGGATCCAGCCATCTATGCCGTGAGCTAAATTAAATAAGAGTTTTTCATTTTACATTTTCAAGTTCTGCAGAGGGTCTGTCAGGCATCAACACTTCCTTCTGGAAAGATCCAAAACAAGCTCTCTTGGGAGTAGGTGAGCAGGAGACCATCAACACCCACCTGGACTGTGGCATGAACAGCCTCGGGCACCTGATACTTCAACTCATTAGCAGTTTGCTGAGATTTTGGCAACAGGAATGGGTAAGACAGGGATCGGTATTTGGGCTTCATAATCTGCTCAGGGGAAAAAAGAAAAAAAAAAATCCTTGAAGAGATTGCAACACAGCCGAGTAACATTAAAAAAACAATAAAATGCGTGCCTAGGGAGGGCATGTGGATGAGGCAGGTCTGTATTTATTTCCATGCCCCCAGCAGCAATGCCCACACCCCACCTTGGTGAAGTTCCAGCGCTGGATGAAATGTCGGGCGACATCACGCGCAGCTTTGCCGTGCACCACGGAGGAGATGTCATGCCAGGGCATCCTCGGCGTGGTGTATCTGTCAATGAAGTCTACGAGACAGGAAAGTACATTTGGACCTCCTCAGACAAAGGACATGAACGTGGAAAAGCACAGCGTCCCCCTCCTCAAACTGAAGTTTCTGGGACACGGCACCGAGGGCTGTGCAGATGAATTATCATGCAATTGCCCGCAGTCCAAGTCCACGGACTGTAAAAGCATAGTTGGCCCTAGAACCTCTCAAAGGGAATTTTGCTGCTTCTTCCTAGCAGCCAAACCAAAATTGCCTCATTACCTCTGGCTCAGAAGCAGGAAAAAATACAGTTTGAGACTGAGAAGATGCAGAACAGGGTTTGGGGGAAAGTAATGATTTCCAGGGTACAAAAGCACCTACCAGCAAAAGGTTTGTCAAGTTGAACCCAGTCTTTAAAGACGAAGTTGCAATAGTCTTTTCCATGCCAGAACCTGGTTTCCCCAAGCAGCTCACCAACACCTGTCTTCAAGCTGCGAATGGATCCTTTATCTGTCACAGGCAAAGAAAATAGCAAAACCACATGCTCCAAAATCACATCTGTCCATCACGCACCGCTGGTGACAGACTCACTGCCACGGAAAAGCATTGGTGGGGCTTGCCCGTCCCAGCTGGCTGAAGCTGTTTTCTCCCTAGTCTTCCTGTTGCTTTCAAAGGATGCATATTAGTATTTTTTCTTCCCTATTTTAATATTTGTTATACAATCAGGACAGGTTATACATAGGCATCTGTTATGGAAACAAAAAGCAGATGCTGAATTCTCTCTACATTGGACTAAAACATCAGCCTAATATAATTTGTTTTTCCAGTCCTATGACACCTAAATATTACCATGTGGCAGTCCACTCCCAGCTGCGACTGACGGTAGTGGATATATGTACAGGAACATCACATATATCATCTACTTAATATATTTTACAATACTAATGAACTAATTCCAACTTATCTGCTAGAGGGTTTATGATTTTGCCTCTATAGCAGGGTGTATCTCCTAACAGAAGCTAGTCTTTATTAACTAGAATGAGATGATTAAAAAGCTCAGGTTCCCTCATTAAGTTTTGTGGGTTTTGTTTGTTTTATTTTGTTCTTCCAAATAACAATGTCATCTTTTGATAAAATTTTACATGTTGAACAAATGGACCCTGAATTCCAAATTGACAGTGATTAAAATGATCTAAAATATTATAGACAGGGATATTCCCTCCTAACAGGATCCCTTCTCTAGAGCACGTATCTTGGTGCAGAGTGAACTCTTTTTCCTCACTGTTAAGAAAACCAAAACTGTTGGCCTAGACCATGAATGTTTAACTAGTGTTATTTCCTGACCCTGAGAGCAGCCTTCATCTACTGTACCAAACATTACTGCAGTAATTACACAGTAACATGCCAACAGCAGAAGCCTTCTCCTAACCCAACCACATCACCAGGTAACCATGAAAACCCCTTACTACAAAAAACCCCTTTCAACAGTCAGCAAAATACACACTGGCAGCAGCGCAACAAGACCAGTTTACGCAAGGCAAGCCCTGCCAGCACTGCTGTAATCCCACCGAGCCGAGCGAAGCCATGCCAAAAATGCCATGCAGCAGGTATGCACCACAGCTGCCTTGGGAAGCATGAGTTTCTAGTGAGAGTCCAGGTGGAGCTGGGGAATCGCTGACTCTGCATGCTCAAATGGGAATGGGTGGGACACGCTGTCCAGCCAAAACACACTTCACGTACTGAGCTTCGATGACTGCACACCAACTCATGAATGAGCATGAGGTGACCACAGGGGAGACCGCACTTCATTTCCATGAAGCAAATGCATCTCTTCCTTGTTACCTGCCACTACTTTGTAACCAGTATTTTATAATTGGCAATTAGTGCCTTAGAGGAAGACGTTAGCAAGAGGAAGATGTTGAAGAACTGCTCCTCACCCTGTACCAGAACTCAAAGGCACCTCGATGAGGTACCATACTGAAACAGGCCCTTTCAACATCGGTCCAGAGATCAGAACAGCTCAGCGCTCATAACCACCCAACTCCTTTCTCAATCGAGTATGCTTTCATGGATTTTAATAAGGGGCAAAGTGGAGCCCCAAGTCTTCATCCAAGCACAGGTCTGGCAGCAGCCACTTTGCTGTTTCCTCTCTGTCTGCATGTCTTCCTGCATCAGGCTTACTTGAAAATATCCAATGCAGAAGTTCCTAAATTCTAGTAAATGAGCCCTTCCTTTGCAAGATAAGAGCTGCTGAAATCATCATGTACCAGAATCAGAGCTATTTCCTCAACAGTTCCCTGTTTTTGTTATTGCAAATTTGTTTGAGCTTTTTACTTTTTGTTGTTATTGTTTTGGGGTTTTTAAAAATTATTATTTATTTATGCTGCAGTTTTTGTAGCTTCTGGAGAAGGCTCTTCTGCCAGGGTGTCCTCAGAGGTGTGCGAAGGATGCTGGGAGAACAACAAGCAGCAAAGGCTGATCCTGGCACCCAACCTAACTCTCACCATCGTTACAATGCAAAAACATCAGCAGCTAAAGCCTGAAGGGGTCTGCACCTCTGCCTTCCTCCACTTACCCTCCTTAGGCTCAGCGAGCCCCTGTTTGGATTCACTGTGGTGATGGAACATTTTCAGATGGGGCTTTAAACTCTGGATTATATTCGGTTGACTTCTAGTGGGGTTACAGTAACCTGCAGAAAGTCAAGATGCTCTATTTATGGCAAAAACGCACATCCACTTCTGCTACACCGGTGCCTGGTCCTATCTGAAGACACCTTGCATGACAGGAGCTCAAATGAGATGTCAAATTTGCTGAAACTACAAGTGACCAACAGGCAAAGGACCAAATTCAAGAGCCGGCAGGTTTTAAACCAAACAGATATATTGAAGTAGCAAAGCCATGGCTGTATCCTGAGCTGACTGCAACCAACACAAACGATGCTCCAGCAAGGCTCCCTCCAGCCAGAGGCAAGAGTAAGATCTGCAGGGAGTGATGGAAACTCAAGTAAGTTCCCACCGCGAGCAATATACAGCTTCAGGAGGTGATGACGTCAGGAGCAGATTTCAGGAAGGACTCCATGCTACAACAAATGTCAAGCCGATCCTTGTAATTTCAGCTTTGAAGCTGTTTTAAATGTGAGGAATTAAAAGCTGCATTCAAATATTCAGCTGTTGAATGTCTCTCCTCTCTAGTAAGTGGGTAAATTGGGAATATGTCCATTTAAGTGAACTGATTTAAATCTAGGTAACACTACCCTCTCAGAGGGGATAATCACATTCAGAAATGGTTTTGCTTGTTACAATAAATACAAGTTGAAAAGTCTAAGACTCAATTCTCCCTTGCAGGAACAAAAATTTTCCAACAATATAAACGTTAGGTATCATGTACACTGTATCACACCATCTGATGGCTCATGATAATTGCTAATTAACTAAATGCAAATCCACTTACAACTTTTCTTGTATATTTTGCAGTGACACAAATTTACATATGGACTACACACAGTTATTATTCTGATAGTTAAGAAATTCATCAACTTTCCTTCCTTACAAAGAACACATTACCCTAGAAATTATGTGAATCTGCATGTACACCCACCCACCTCCACACACACTTTATATATGCTGTTTAGTTGAAAAACATTACTTACTTGATTCACTGTCTATGCTGCTGACGCTGTCAGCATGGTGCATGCTGTGTTTATGGAGATGCTTGTAAATGCTGAACCTTGAAAACTTTTTGGTTTTTCCTATTCCTTTCATTTTTGATATGTCTGGGACATCGTCAGCATTTCTTGTTCCAGAGTAGCTTTCTGGGGACAGAGCTTGAGACTGCAGGGGCACACATTCAGATGACTCCGCTGCAGACTTAAAAGACACAAGACATTGCTGCAGGTGACGTACAGACAGATTCCCCTTTAATTACAGATTATCACATGTACCAGTGCTCAGTAACAAAGCCCCCAAAAAAAGCCAAACTTTGCTTCGTGGCGAAGACACACTTTGGTGGGAACTACGAATGCCTTTGAGGGAGAGAGTCTGTAATGAGACACTTGACAGAAAAACCCATTAATGCTAGCAGTACATTCTTCAGTCCCATAAATTTACTCTGGATTATTACTCCCCTTGAAATTCTCAGAAGTTTAGACCTCTCTAAATTTTTTAGAGATCTCTGGATGCACACAGACTCAGGTTAGCGGAAAGCGCAGCAAGCAAGGCACCTGCTGAGGGCCTAAGCATCCAGAAGTTCGGGGCACTCTGCGAGTGCCTACTGTGCATTTCTAAGTTTTATTAAGAACGTAGCCTCCAAATTGTGACTGCTGCTCCAAGCTCCAGAGGAAACCCAGCTGTCTATCTCCGTGCCCTAGCAAGGGCTGGTCAGGATCTAGCCCTAAAGAGTCATTTGATACTCCGATAATTCTGCCTTCCCATTACCATTCCTCTTTAAACCTCCTAAACCCAACCCTACGCTTAGAAGTGGACACGGCTTGTTCATCCCCACCGCAGACCTGATGCACAGATGTTGAAGGTGGACATCAGCTGGAGCAAGCTCACTTACTGCCAGGTTGGTCGTCGACACTGACTTCACTGCCGCCATTCGTTTGACACTGCCCACGTCGGTCAGGCGATGCTCGTCATCATCCCACCTGCCATACGCCAAGTCAATGCCACCCACAAATGCCACGGACTGGTCAACGATGACGAGCTTCTCGTGGTGGGCCCAGAGGTACACGGAGGAGGACACGTGGTCTGGGTGTCTCATCACCTGGGGAGAGAACCAGCACCCAAGCTCAGCTTCACTGCCCAATTTACATCCCTCCAGTCAGAGAGCTGCTCAGCTTATTTTTTTGGCTGCTCAGGACAATGGGGAAACACAGGAGTTTTTAGAAGATGCCTCCACACAGACTGCTGTAATTACTGAAGCGACGTGACTCCCCCTGAGTTGGGCTCAGCTTTACTGGCAGGCAGGTGCTTCCCCATGATGAGGGTATTCCCAAGCAGCGACGGTTACTGATGTTGGGACAGGTCACACTTAAAACAACTGTGTTCATAAGAGGACTATAGTCAAGGAATCTGTTCGAACAAATAAACCCATGCTTTCAACAGACCTATAATAGCTGAGCTTTCAAACACAGAGCCTGCTCTAAAAGAAAACAACATACTGATGATCTGATTCACTTCTTTGGTTGTTGCCACTACGTAAGTGAAACGAGAAGTTGGCTGGTTTTTTTCCCCATTTAAAATCAGCAAATTGTTTGACATTTGTTTATGAGATTCTTTTTGACATTTGTTTATGGCAAAGTAATTTCTATATCTAAGCATCAGTATATAGTTTAATTTTTTTTGATGTTGGAGGAGAGCCATTAGACTAGCTTCCCAGGGAAAAAGCTAGAGAGCTTCACCTGGCTGCTCCCAAAATCCATTACACACATAGCATGTATCTTCCAGTTACACCTTTCAGTCTTGTTGCGAAGATGATGGCGCATGGATGCTTCCCCTCACTGTGACAACTGGTCAAGTGACAATAAATCTATTATTCTAGCAGTTTGTTAGTCACCCTTATGCATAATATGTATCTTATTGCTCATTAAAATTTATACGTCTCTAACGTCAAGAGACTGGATCTAGCCTTAACTACTCGTTCGTGTGCCACAACTCATTTTCTGCTCGGTGGCAGAGCAGCAGCGAAACAGCACAGGACAGCACAATGCTGTTCATTTACGATGGAAACGTAAACATCCAGTGTTGATTCTCGTCATCTACGTATGAACAGAAATGCTGAAATGAGACAACATTCTCAAACTGTAATTTTCCATTTGATGTAACCCCTTTAACTTGTCACATGAAATATGTTTCCTGTGAATTAGATGAAGAATTGCTTTGGCAAGTTTAAACTAAGCAATTTTATGTTCAATTATAACCTAAAGAAATGAAGTTGCCAGATGTGGTAATCACTGCATGGGTTATGTCTTCTCAGATTATTCCCACTGTAATGGTGGGAAACGCTGTTCTTCCATTCTTCCAGTTCACACCCAAATACACTGAGGGTCAACACCAGCTGTCGAGAGCAAATGAATGCAAGTGTCCTTCATACAACTGCCCAATGCACAATTACCTTAATGTTTGGATGGAGGTGCATGAGCGTCCGCTTGCTATATTCACTGTTGATCCCTAGGGCAAGCTCCACCTCTTTGTACAGCATAACAAAAATTCTCACTCCTTGTTGCTGTCAGAAATAAAAAGAAACAAATGGTATGCAGGTATTTCAATGGATACAGTCCATTTCTGAAGCGAGGAAAAGCTAAGAGACAGTAAGCATGTTGTGTCTGCAGACAGAAATGCAGGCTGAGGTTACTTGTTCTTGATTACGCTCT